GGAAGGAAGGAAGGAAGGAAGGAAGGAAGGAAGGAAGGAAGGAAGGACAGAAGTTAAAAGAAGGCAATATTTTAGATTTCTATTTAAAGCCATTTGGTTGTCAATTAAACAGGAACAAAACGGAATACAAATAAATAATTTAATATGTTAATACTGTTATAATGATGTTAATGAAATACTTAAATATACAGAAAGGTCATACAATATAGGGCCACGTTTTGTTGGGTGGGGGGAAACACTACTTGTTAAATTGTATTATTATTCTGCTTTTGAGGAAATTTATATTCCTTTCAGAATGACTTTAGATTTTTATTTAAAGTGTTTTATTTTTTATTTAAAGTGTCAAGCAGGCTTCGTCCTTGGACCAATTGTTCTACCATACCACTACTCTATTTCACCCTGAAACACATGAGACAGCTTTTCACATGGATAGAAGGAAATGAATGGGTAAAGTTTCAGATAAATCCCCTTCTTCGCTATTAAAAACCAAGGCTTCTCTGTTTTGCATAGCACGCCATCTACTCACACCCTTTCTCTGTAAACCTACCACTCTAACACAACCTCCTAGCACAGGGGTCGCCAAACTTTTGGACCTCAGGGACCACCAAACTCACAATTTTAAATCCCCTAGACAGAGACTGTTAGGAATAACATAGGTTACCTAATGTAGTTTGGGTAAAATAATATATATAAACTATGATTGTATGTTTAAGTGTGTGTCACTTTAAAACTGCAAAGCATGTAATTTTGGGTGTGGTGTGTGAAACCACCATAAGAGGGAGCAAGAGAACCTGATTGATTGCTGGCAATTACTGACAATTACTGGATTGCATGGTTTGTTAGCTGCGTGTTTCCCTCTACTGCTGAGTTGCTGAAGGAAGAGAGGAGTTTTTGAGTTCTTCATATCTCTACTGCGAGGAGATATATCACCGGACTGACATTTGTAAGTTTACTGACCTCTCTTTTTCGACACTGGAATTTGCAACTGAATAATCCCTGGACGGACTGACTAGTGAATGATATATGGACTGTTTTGATTATGATATAAATCTTACTGGAATAAACTATTTAATTAACACTGTGTATCTGTTTTACTGAGTGTAAACTACAAGAACGTTTATCTCACATATTTTGCCTGCCTACCTGACTGCCCTGCAGATCCTGCTAGGGTGTATCCCTAACAGAGACCCTAGGAAAATCCCCCCCCAAATCTGCAGGAAAATTCCCACCTCATTTTCTACCAACTGATCATCCTTTATTTGGGATCGCAGGATACCGTCTCCAGCTCTGCTCTCAGGGAGGGAAAGAGACTTTGGCTTCATGCAAGGAAAGCACCAGAAATCTTTCTTTCTCTCCCCGAAACTCCACCAGAAATGAGTCTTTGCTGGTGCAGCCTCTTGGAGCAGGATGCCTTGCAGGGTCCCAAAAACTCATTTCTGGTAGAGTTTGGGGGAGAGAAAGAAAGACTTTTGCTGCTTTCCTTGCGTGCAGCCAAAGGCAGAAGAAAGAAATGGAAAGAAGCAGCCTGGTGGCCAGGTGCCTGGGGTGAGTGGGGAAAGTTCCCCACCTCTTCCCTTCCCCTCCTCCCCTCACTACCTCATGTTGTTTGCAATGCAAGCAATGCAAGCTTTGTGTTCCCACAGGCCATGTGGGCAGCGCAGCCTTGTGTTTCTGCACAGCCTGGATTAATTGCTTTGGGTGGTACTTTGGGGGTGACATTTTTCTGCGGACCACCAAAATTTTCTCGCAGACCACTGGTTGGCAACCACTGTCCTAGCACACTATGAATTAAGGAAGAAGTAGATAAATAACCCACCAGAGAAAATAGGGCAGATCTTTTCCCAGCAGGTAATTCCTCCTTCAGAGGTATATTGTCCTAGGGCCACTTCCAGGAAGAATACAGGAAGACCTCCCCCAAACAGAAAAATGAAATAAGGTATGAGAAATGCACCTATAGAGGGGAAAAACAGAAGGGTGATTAGGACGATTTTATTAGTAAAACAACCATTCAGACCAGTAACTAATGATGAGCACAATAAGGATACTCACCTCCGCCATTTTTATAGCAGAGATATGGAAATCGCCAAACATTGCCTAATCCAATAAACCCTCCAGCTACGGACAACAAAAAATCAATCTTGCTGGCCCATTTTTCCCGTTGTGGTGGCTTTCCCTCCGCCTCATCCTCAGGCCGTGTCCCAGGGCTCTTGCCAGGGGAAGGTTTAAGGATATCCTTGTGAAAATCTTTCAAACACTGCAGCTTCTCCTTTGTTGCCATGGTTTTGTTTTCTAGAAAGATCAAAATTACAATATAAGATATATAAACTGATTTACTTAACAGACCTTGCTCAACAGGTCCATCTGCTTATGCAATATATGTTGGCAAGCGCTTATGCAAAGTCAGTAACTAAGCCAAGGTTCCCACAAAATCAATACGTGCGCAAGAGAGATGCAACTAATGATTAGTAATATATGAATCTGCAAACTTGAAAGCATGGAACAACAATGTCTCTCTACTTTAACAGGTACAAGGAAATGTTTCCTAATATGAGGTTAGCATGGCAGGTTCCTGAACATTCTGGCTAGGCAGTCATTACATCCTACATTCACTGTGCTAAAGGAAGTGTTAATTTATGGTATTATGATGGCACTTTATTTGCAGAAACTGAAATCAGAAGTAAGCCTCGTCTTTTCTTTTTTTTTGGAAAGGAACATGGAAGCTATCTGTGAAAGCTAAGCAGTTCATGGCCTAGGACTGCTAGGAATTACTCTTTCCACATCCAACAAACTGCTGAGCAGTTTTATGGTAATATTAGTATATTAGTGTAATTCATAAGGTAAAGTTGCTCATTGTAAAAAATCTCCCACAATTACATTATTTCTTTCTTTTCACTGTCTCAGTAGTTTGTTACTTGCCTGAAATTATATTTTTCAAAAGAAAATCATACTTTAAAGATTTCCCAACAGAATGGCTTTAAATAAGCTTTTGTCAAATATAATGGATAATCCTAATAATATAAATATAAAATAGCAATTCAGCCACCTGTCTTGTGTTTATCCTGGGCCTGTTTATCTAGTCCCACATAAATAAGACTTTCTGAATTCTGTCATTCCTTTAGCATTTCATCTAAACTGTTTTTAAAAGATTGGCGTTCCTCTGATGCACAATAAAATTGCATTCATTCCTGTAGCAATGGTTATTAATTAATGACATTTCAATGAGAAGACTTGCTTCATACCAAAACTAAAATACACTGAACTTTCATAAATAATCCTAGTTTATAAACACTGTTTTCAATTTAATATATTTATAATTGATAATATAATATCATTCATTTAAAAACAATTTTCAAGGTATTTTCCAAGGTAAACAGATTTCAAGGTAAGATTTTCTGTACTAATGAGCGCCATGTGAAATATTAGTGTGAGATATATGCTATTTGGTTTGAACTGCAGAAAAATATGCAAAAATGTTTTTGACAGCTCCTTTCTATAAATATACTCTTTCACATTTGAAGGCACAAGAGTTAATCCACTCTCACCATTTGTGTGAAATTGGTTTGCATTTAGCACAAAAATATTCTGCAAATATATATATATACAAGTAGTCTTTGACTTACAATTACAATTGGGACTGGAACTACACATGATAGAAAGCTGGAGGGGGAAGGGGTTTAAACTCTTTTAAAACAGAACATTTTATTTTAATTAAGTAATATAATTTAATAGAGTAATCCATTAATATAAAAAATAAAAACCATTAAAATAGAACATTTAAACCTAATCCTAATTAAAAAAAGAAATTGCCTTGCTCAAAGCCAGTGCTTAAAGTAGTAATACTTTAAGCCTTTTTATCTTTCACAGTGTTTCATTAGTAAAAATACCTTTCATTTTTATCTGACTTATGGAAACTAGGAAAATTATTTGATTTATTGTATATGTCACTGCAAAAGCATAGTTTTCATTGTTGTACTGGATGTCTGGATTTAATTTTATGCTTTCTGAGTAGTAAACATATCTAGCTATCATGGTAGAGATTTGAAAATATGGCTGACATTAACTTGGCAAGAAATTTGCAACTAGAACTCCGTTGTTGGATATATATGCATCAGTGTACAATGTAAATGAAAAATTTTACATGAACTACAAATCAAGTTAAATTGGTGAGTAAACAAATCTGTTAAATGTATCTCTGAACATTTAATTGATATTTTAAAAATATTGTGAACAACCAACTGGAAATTTCTTAAATTCAAGATGTCTTTCATGATGAAATTATCTAAATAATATTTGGTTTTTTCTGAGTGTATCTGGATAGAAAATATATAAAAGAATGGAAAACGTCAGATAACAGTAAAACAAGTTACAGTCAATTTGTCTCAAATATTTGATTCAATAAAGTCATTATGATGGTATAAAAGAGAATGCTAAACAGGTATATTAAAGAACATTTGTAATTGTGTTCATACACCATGCTTAACCAGCTCTATCAAAATCCTAGCGGGTGTTTTTGCTTCACATGTTAGGCTTGACTAATTTTAAATTTCTTTTGGTATTTTTCTCTTTTCGGTGGCTTAGTGAGTTGCACAAATTCCCATTTAATTAGCTTAGAATTCAACATATTGCATAATCCTCAGAATTAGTAATTCACGAAATGTGTTGAATTAAGAGGGTCAAAAGGTAATATTCATTATAGGAACAGCAGTGGCAGTGAAGAACAATTATTATTTATTTATTTGTTATCCTTGAGAAAGATCACCAGGCCAAATCTTCATCTCCACTTAGCCATCATAAACATGGATAGCTAATGTTTCTGATCAGGAAAGAGAGGAAATTTGAAAAAAACAAAAACAGAATAGGGGACATTTCATATGAATTTTGGGCATATCAGCAAACCTCTTTTTATAAGCCCAATCGTTTATTTCCCATTCTTAGCTATTTCATCTACCTGCACACCAACTGTGATGCAATTCACCCAGTAGCACTCTTTCCATCCATGCATTCTCAATAATTTACAGCACGGGTGTCAAACTCGCAGATCACATTGCCGGTCACATGATGATTCATGAGATTTTTTCCCATTTGTAGAGCTGGGGTGGGTATGGCCCATCAATTTGACACCCCTGATTTACAGAAACTTGGGACATTATTATTATTATTTTTATATTTCAGTGCGGTTTAGAACAGGCAGTAGCACCTACCAGATCCATAACTAAGGGTAGCATTAGGTTTTTCCATTATCCGTGCAAAGAAAGGGACTGGAAATTCTATCTTACTGGGGCAAAATCAGGATGTATGCTAACGTGCAGAGTTATATTTTTCTTGACTACTAACTGGCATTGAATCAGCCCTTCCTCTGCCTATTGCATAGCCGGATATTTATGCAGACTCTTTTCTGCCCCTAAGTGGACTCTGAAATGAACATTTAATAGGAGACATGTGTAAAAAGCTTGTTAGTGAGCCATGCCAACATTTTCCTGTCTACTTCTTGGGAATGAGAGCAAGCTGGAAAAGGAGGAGATTTGTGATTAATAAACACAGAACAATAAAGCTATTGTAAATTAATCAGGTTAGTTAAGTAAAATTGAGATTGCCTGAATCCTTTCTGACTCCTGAATAACACAGAAGAGGTTAGCCAAATGTTAATAGCTTCTTTTATAAAGGAACATATTATTTCAGTTGTCATGAAATAGAAGTACTGCTTAAAAACTGAACACAGTTAATTTGAGATACTTATGCGATTTCTTCATTTAACTAAAGAAAAATTTGAGTTTTAAAAGACTCCCAATTTTTAAATCTCCACTTTTTTTAAAAAAAAATATTGATTTTTTAGTTAAGGATCCTGATAATGCCTAAATGGTTTATAGTGAATATGTATTATAATTTTAGGTTATTTTCATATTGGCTTACTAAATCTCTATTGCACTTATATTTTAAATTTTATTTTATTCTATGACCCAGACATGGTGACTACCTACTGAAGGAAATGCCAAGGAAGATAAAAAGGGTACTAGAAGATTGAAAAGAATTCTGAAATAAATAAATAAATATGTACGTATGTATGTATGTATGTCTAGGTGTGTTCGGGTCTTTTCCCATGTAAGATTAAAAGTAAGATGTTTTGGCGAGGTCCCACTCACCATCCTCAGGCTGGTGCTTTCGGCTTCATGAAGTGCCAGTGCAAGCACGAAGCCGAAAGCACCAGCCTGAGGATGGAGAGTGGGACCTTGCTGTTCATCAGATGAACACTATACAGAAGCCTGATGATGGCAGATGAGATTCTGCCGAAACGTTGCTACAACTTTAAGAGCACAACTACAATGACGTGGGAAAATACCCGAACAAAGCTGAAATAAATAAATAAATAAATAAATAAATGTGTGTGTATGTGTGTGTGTGTGTGTGTGTGTGTGTATATATATATATATATATATATATATATATATATATATATATATATTAAAAACAATGTTTAACAAAGGGCATTGTGCTGACCCATTCACATGATTTGCATTTGATTTCCTGCAATTTTATTTTACTGATTATAACTATAATTACTTTTTATAGATAAGAATCAACAATCTGATGTAGAGTTGGAAAGCATTTTGCAAATATGAACTACAGCTATTTTATCAGTTAATAAGCAGCAACTCACATTCTTGAATAATAAAATAACTGAATAGTTCCACTCCTGAAAAGCATGCCAATTTCTAGGAAACATATATCTGCCTTCCCTTCAAAAAAACAAGAGCTTGGCTCAAATATTTAAGATAGTTGAACAATGAGCCAAAGCTGCTATTTATAGCAAGAAGCAATATGAATGCAGCCAAAGGAAAGTTCGTTCCAATTTTTTTTAAAATGTCTAGGCCATACATGAATGCTATTTATTGATGATGATCCAAATTCATTGCATCAAATTCACAATCACTAACCAAGTTGGTCGATTATGTTACATTGATGAAACTATTACATTTTACTATTGGGTCTTTGGCTTTCCAGACACAACTTTATTAACAAGGCATTGTCTTTATTGGCAAATGTTTTTTGTAATAGGTCACTATTTCTATTTATAAACCATTCCTTAAGTATCCTTCAGTAAACTATCAATTATGATGAGGACAAGGAGTTTTGCTCAATTTTATTTTCCAGATATTACCTCAGCTGATTCCAAGCTATTTTCACAAAATTAAAAGAAGTCAATAAGACTGTGTGACCAGTCCAGGAGACCGGCTTTAAACATCTAAAGAACATGGTAACTTCATATTCTGAACAGTTTATTTAAAAAGATG